ATCTGACCACACTCTGTGGACTGTACCAATGTCAACTTCCTGGTTCCATTGCACTGTGGTTATGTAAGATGCTACCAATGGGGGTAAATGGGTGAAGAGTACACAGGACCTCTCTACCATTTTTGCAACTTCCCAGAAAGCTATAATCATTTCAAAGTGACATGTTTTTTTAAAAAAGTAAACTATGGACATTTTACTTAAAACAAAACGAATGAAAAAGAGGTGAATATAGCTTCACGACTGGCCAGTGAGATCCCAAACACGGACTTAAATGCACACAGTAGGACTATGTGACTTCATTTTTTTGAAAAGTTAAATCTAATCCTCCAGAGTTTTAAGAGGGATACGTTTCCTAACACCTTAGAGCTACTTCCCCATCCCCCTGATACAATTAATGGGGGGGGGGAAAGGAAAAAAACACCTGATGTGTGAAGAACCCCTTTGGGGAAGCAGGAGTCCTGCCCTGGAATGAACGAACAGGCCCTGTTTCACAAGTACAGAGGCCCAGGGCCTCACAATTTAGAGAGCGCCGGGCCGTGCCAACACACAAGCCCAGGCGTGGCTTCCTTCAGCAAAACTACTGTACTCACCTACCCACGACGGCCAAGATTTAAATTCTGCCTTTCTTCCAAGACAAAACAAAGTCAAACCAACAAAATAAAAAAAAATTTTTTTTTAATCACTTAGCAAACAAAAACCTCAACAACCTCGGACTATATCCAACAAACCTTGTAATTAAAGATGTCCTTCTGATTGACCTCCAAAGCACCCCTTTGCTTTTCAAGTATTCTATTGCCTAGTGAATTCTGGGACACAAGAGCCTACCGAAATTAATGAAAAAAAATGGGAGAAGAAAAATTATTCAAAGCGCTAGAGAATTTCCTGACCCGAGCTGCTTCCATATGCATTTGAAATGCAGATAGCACTGGGGCGTTGGGGGGTGGGGGGGATGCTACTTTGGGAGAAATTTGCATATCAGAACGACTAACAGGTCTTCTTACAGCGTTAACATCCTTTTATTTGATTGGCCTGGAAAATCTTTCAGATTTTTACAATTTTCACTAGCAAGTCCCTTATTTCAGAAGTCATTAATTTTTTTTTAAAAGCCTTAGACAGTACTTTATCATTTTCAAAGCAGTTCCACAAATTACTATGTAGAAAAACAACACTGGTACCTAGGGGCTGTGCTTTTCAGCGGAACACTCGCCAGCCAGGCTGCCTTCCAATTTCAATTAGTTCGGCCATCTTTCCCCCAGGCCCTGGGTCCGCTCTGCTCCACAGAGGCAGACATCAAAAAAAAAAGTATAGATCTACCCACAGAAGCCTCCGGACTCACTGGCCAAGGGCAGACACTCTCAAGTCTAATCAGGAGAATGCCTTCCCATAAAATTACTCACATTTCTGCATTCATGTGCTTTTCTTAACAACAGCACTTTTAAATCTCATTTAAACTGAAAGTCCTCCATTAGCTTCCATGAAAAGATGTATTTTTAAATGCTTTGATCTCCACATGCTCTTTGGTACATTAGTATTCTTCACTCTCCACCATCAGCACAGAACCTAAAAGACCAAGACTTCTGTGCATTTTAAAAAGAAGAGGGAGGGAGAATGAATTATAAGTGTAGCACCTTCTCGCCCTCCTGTCCCCTTGCAGAGTGTACCAGGTTTCCTTATTTATCTTGAGAACTGTACCTCACAAAAGCCAAACTTACCCATCTAAAAACTAATCATCCCCCCAGACCCCACCAGGGAGGGTAGAGGCATCTCTAAAACCTCTGCTTTAGTCTTCCTCCTCTTCACTCTGGTCAAATCAGTGGTTTCCAACCCTTTACTCCTCTGCAAAACGGTTCAAACTGTATTCAAATATTGTTACCATACAATTCCCACAAAGAATGCTCACAGTAGATGCACTACGATGCTCAGAACACCATCCTGGGAAACAAATTTCACATTGGTCTAGAACTTGCAATCCAGAGAGCTCCCTTAATCCTTACCCTGGGTCTAACATCTGCAGGGAGCCACTGGGGTCCAGCAGTGGTGGGCAGCCAGCAATGGGTGGGTCAGTCAGCAGTGGGGGGGGGGCATCCAGGAGTGGGAGACAGCCAGGAGTGGGGGGGCAGTCAGCAGTGGGGGGGCAGTCAGCAGTGGGGGGGCAGCCAGGAGTGGGGGGCAGTCAGCAGTGGGGAGGCAGTCAGGAGGGGAGGGCAGTCAGCTTACTGGAGTCAGTAGACGCTGGACGGATGCAAGAGTGCGGCCTGGGAGGCCGAAGAGTATGTCAGGGAAACTCCAGGTTCTGGGTAAGCAGTGGGGGAACACTCAGGAGTGCGGGGACAGTCAGCAGTCCGGGGGGGCAGCCAGGAGCGGGGGATGGGCAGCCAGGAGTTGGGGGGGCATTAAGCAGTGAGGGGACAGTCAGCAGTGGGGGGGCACTCAGGAGTGGGGGGGGACAGTCAGCAGTGGGGGACAGCCAGGAGCGGAGGGCAGCCAGGAGTGGGGGGGCACTCAGGAGTGGAAGGGTCAGTCAGCAGTGGGGGGACACTCAGGAGTGGGGGGACAGTCAGCAGTGGGGGGGCATCCAGGAGGAGACAGCCAGGAG